CCTAAGAAAAACAGACATCTAATTATTTTGAACTTTCCCGATTGGGAAAAATATTCCTCAAATGTGAGGTTTACTAGGCCGAAAATGGCCTCTGTTGCTACAATCGCACAAGTCTTGTCTGGTTTCAAATATTTTTTTAGTATTAAAGCTATTTTTTCTTTACTAAAATTATTATCAGAAATTATCCGTCTTATTTTATTTTTAAATGGTATTGACGTGTCGGTTTTTTTTTATTATTCTGTTTCAAATATTAGTTGGTTTCTGAATTCGTTTAATGGTTTCTCGGACGTATGAATCGTACTTTGTGCTGATCGACTGATATCATTTAAATTCCAGTCGATTGTTACTGTATTTTGTGACCCCTTTTTGTAAACGACTTCATAATCATACTCCAGAAGCTGTAATTCCCGTCGGACCAGTTTGGAGTTTGGCTCTTTGAAGTTCATCAACCACATTAGTGGTCTGTGGTGTGTGATTATTGTAAGCTTTTGCCCGAAAATATAGGGTCTAAAGTGTTTCGTGGCCCAAATATCTCGGTATCCGATAGCGTTCTACTAGCGTAAGATATCGGTCTATCATATCTGGGTTCTGTAGCAATGGATCGTTACATAAAAATGTTTTAATATTTCCAAAGGCCTTTTTATAGTCTTCGCCGATATTTACTGGGGATTTCTTGCCTTTCAACTGATGGGTAATAGGTTTAGTAACTTTAGCAAAATCTCTAATAATTCGATCTCTCTTCTTAAAAATTCTGATTTCTGCGATTGTAATTTTAACCTTGCCTTTGTGAGTTTAGTAAATACTCTTCTGAGGTCTGTGATATGTTCTTGTAAAGAAGGTGAAAGTATAATGATGTCATCCAGGTAAATCAAACAGCATTTACCATTAAACTCTGCCAACACGTTGTCCATTACCCTCTGAAATGTGGCCGGAGCATTTGTTAACCCAAATGGCATTCTTATGAATTCAAAAAGTCCATTACTGGAGGAAAAGGCTGTTTTTTCCGTATCGTTCAGGTCCATTTCGACTTGATGGAATCCGCTAGCCAAGTCTAGGGTTGAATATTATTTAGCTCTGCCTATCTTATCTAAAATGTCAATCGTGTTTGGCATTGGATATTTATCCTTAATGGTCTTTTCATTTAGTTTTCTGTCTACTACCAATCTCCATTTTTTTTCTTTTGAAGCATCTAGTTTCTTTGAAACTAAAAACACTGGAGCACTCCATGGAGAATGGCTATGTTTAATTATGTTTTGATCTCACGATCTGTTGGTGAATTTCTTTAGTTTCTATCGGACTGTATCTAAAAGGTCTTGTGTATAATGGAATGTTATCTAGTGTTCTTATTCTATGTTTCACCAAGTTGGTAAAAGATAGTTTTTCACCTTCTACATAAAACAAATTCGGGAATTCCCGATGAAATTCTTCTAGTGATAATTTCTCCTCAACATTTAAATGGTCCTTTCGTAATTTGATCTGCCTTTTAGTTAGGCTCTTATCTGGTTTTTGTTTATCATTCGTAACTACGTTTACTGTAATGATGACAATTTGATCCAATTTCAATACTTTCAACTCTGTTTCTAAGAAAAGTTTTTGTTTTTGCGGCGAATAGTTAACCACCTCCATATAGCTCAAATTATCTTTGGAGGTGTACAACCCACCAAAAATCAAAAAGCCTTTTGTTATGTGTATCGGTTCCGATAAAACGATTCCTTTCTCTAGGGCAACTGGTAATTATACGATTGACTTTGAAGTTTCATTAGTAAGGTGAAGGCCTGACGCTCTGTTATTTTCTCTATGCAACTTGGATTCAAATAATGGTGTTTTTAAAACTTCTTTTTGAAGATCTACAATTGCTTTTAATTCGGTTAGTATTTCCATTCCAATTAGACCATCAAATAGTTGGTTGAATTTATACAACAGAAGTTCAAATTTTCTTCTATCATTGAATTCATTAAACAGGCTGATATTCGTTTTTGGAAAAATGCTATGTCTATCAAGTACGGCTTTAATGGAGGTTGGCCTGTCAAGATTTATGTGGAATTGTTGGTTCACTAGATTTGGTCTAATAAATGACAATTCGGCTCCAGTGTCTATGAGGAATTTGTATGGGTGTGATTTGGTAAGATTCAAGAGTATATAAGGAAGAGTTGAGTCGTGAGTTATATTATTTATGTAGCCCGTCTGTTCTTCGAGGCTTTTTTGTAAAAATTTGTGTCCTCATCAATATTATGTAGCTCTGCCATAACTTCTTCCGAGTCATCCTCGTCAACGCTATGTAATGTCTTGTTGTTTCTCAAATCCCTGTTATTGCTGTCGTTACCTTTGTAGCGCTAATGGTTATTATTATATTCTCTTGGCATAATTTCCGGAACGTTCCTATTGATTTTTGAGCGAAAATTGTTGCTATTACTTATTCTATAATTTTCATTTGTGTATTTTCTATTAATGGTGTTTTGGTATGGTACTGTTCGATATGATGATCGTTCGTTATGTTTATTCCGTCCCCAATCTTGATTTTGTTTATTCTCCTGAAAAAAAAATCTCCCTTTACGTTAGGGCCTTCTCGTATGCCTCTGTTATTGTTTCAGGTTGCATAGCCCTAACTGTGGACCCTAGTGGACCTTTCAGTCCAGTTAGGAAAATATTTAGACATGTGGTTGAAAATAAATCTTTTTTTGTTTTTACTAGAATCGGTTGTAGTTCGTTGGTCTCGGTCAGCTTAAACAATGCTATTTTGATTTCGCAAAACTTTCGTAAAACCTTTTCATCGGCAATCCAACTTGACTGAGATTATGGAGTTCACGCATTAGAGTGCACTCGTCGCGTTTGTCAGAACAATGCAGATTTTATTTCATCCCAATTTAGAGTAGCTCCTGATGCATTTGTTTCTGATTGCCCTTAGTAGTAGTTTTCCGTAAGGTGTTTTTTCGGTTCCTTTAATGAATGTTAATATTTCCTCAACATTAGTGATAAATTCACTTAGATCACTCTTATTACCATCATACGTTGGTAATTATCGGATACATAACTTTTTACATAACTCTAGTATCTTACGTCTGGTTGTAAAGAACTTTGCTATTTTGGAAAGATAATTAAAGCAGCTAGAAGTTAAGCCCAAACACTTTGTGATTTCAGCTTACCGTCTGGGAAATAAAAAGCATTGAAATGCGAAAATGATGATTTTTGTGCGGTATTTTTTACGAAATTTTGACTTTAAAAACTCAGGAAAAGTCGAAAAAAAATTATATCTTGTGTCCTCTATTTTTTTGTGTATAGGTGCGTTAATTTGGCGTCGTTTAAGGTATCGCTCATTAAAATCTATGGAGAGACTTTGGAGCTAAAATTCGTTAACCAAACCTAAAATATGGAAAAAATGAAAAAAAATACCTTTTCGATGGTTGCGGGCCCATCGTTCTTGGTTCTTTACAACCAGAAGTAAGATACTAGAGCTATGTGAAAAAAACAAGCGCTACCTCTGAAAAAAGCAAAAAAATAAAATACCAGTTTTCAAAAATTCTTCAAAAAAAAGTTCTGCCATAGAAAAAAAAAAAAAATATCATCAATCCATTTTTAAGCCCCAAATCTTTAAAAAAAAAGTTCGTTTTGTTCCTTGAGGAAAAATCGTGTTGACTAGTGTAATTAATGGTTCATTGTTATGTTTGGTTGTTTTGTTTTTATAAAAATGCGCGCATTGTTTAACTTATTTTTTTAAATCCATGGTCATATTTTTCCAATGATAATTTTGTTTTATCTTGTTTGTTGTACGATTGATTCCTGGGTGGCCACCTTTGGCCATCGTGAAAGTCTTTCAGCATTTTAGTGATCACTTTTTTGTCGTTTACATATTCGGTTTTTGGCGTCTAGGTAATTTGAATGTCATTAAGGTTTTTAATTCCCATATGTTTAAATTGTTCTACCCGGGTATATTTAAACAGATTATCGAATAAGGATAATTGTAATTTCTTGATGGCCAAGCTACCGGCTGTTTATTTTCTCGTAAGTAACTAGGTCATTCAAGTTAATTTAGCTCAACATTTTGTTCCCCTTTTTTAAATAAAAAATTTGGTAAGTTAAAACTAAGCTCGACATGTAGTTTAACTTCACATTTATATAGCGCTTCGTAAAAATTGGGAACCTTAATACTGACTTGGCTGTTCTAAGTTATTACACTACTCGACAAAATCGAACTGTTTTTTTCCTCAAGGATCCAAACCAACTTTTTCTGATAGATATGGGACTTAAAATTTTTTTAAAGAATTAGGTTGGGCCCGTAACCTTCCAAAAGGTATTTTTTGTTCATTTTTTTCATTTTTTAGGTTTGGTTAACGAATTTTAGCTCCAAACTTTCTCCACAAATTTTAATGGGCAATACCTTAAGCGACGCCTAATTAATGCACCCATTCACAAAAGTGTATGAGTTTTCCAGAGATTTTACCTCTGAAAAACGCTTTAAAAAATAACAGACTTAAAAAATTCGTAAAAAAAAACTGCCATAGAAAGAAACCATTATTCTTTAAAAAACTTTAAAGTCCCATATCTATCGGAAAAGACGGGTTGGCTTCTTGAGGAAAAGAGTTCGATTTTGTCGAGTAGTGTAACAACACGGGAGACGTAATGGGAGTCGATCAACTGAAGATGACGGAAATGGAATATTGAGTATCCTTTAATTTCAAAGCCGCATGTTTTTCAAACTGCGACTCCCCTTTTGTAACTGACAATCGTATTCTGCTGCTACTCTGCTTCTCTCTTCTTCTGTTGCTTCTCTGCCATTGATCTGCTTTTCTGCCGTTCTCTCCTTTTCCTTCTGCTGCTGCTGCTTCTTTGCTGTCGCCAACCGCTGCTCCTTCAGTATGCTGGACCATTCCTTCTTACATGTAGGTAAAAGTAGTCTGTTATCGATGTAGCTAGAGCGAACAAAGAGGAGAGCAACACAACCCACATTGCCACTCGTAGGCTAACAAATTATTGACTCTGATAAGCACATTTTTTGTAATATTTTATTTATTTTTATTACCATAAGAGTTTAATTCAGATTTAATAAGGCAAATGTGACGTGCAGTATAAATACTAGTAGCTTGTTCATATGATGAATGAGGTACTAGTGTTTTATCATAGGGGATATTAATGGTAATATCGCATAGTCCTGGACTTTTCAAAGGTTTTAGGCGTGATGTTAGTTGTTTCTTCCACTTTGTTCTACGATTTTGAAACCATGTTTTTATTTGAGCTTCCGTCAAAAATAATGTTTGAGAGAGCTCTATACGTTTGTTAACGCTCAAGTATTTATCAATTTTAAACTCATGTTCAAGTCGATCTAACTGTTTTGCACTATATGCTTGCCGTGGTTTTCTGTCGACACATTTTTTTTTAAATTGTTTTCCTGGTAATTTATTAAGCGTATAGTAAGTAAATGTGATAGGATGACAATCAAAAATATACCTTGCATAGTTAATATGTTGAGCCAATTGAGAGGTACAGCAATTTGTGGTTTATACTGAAAATACGAAGAGTTCAGGGAGTCGCAAATAAAAGGAAAGCTAAGTTTTCCACAGTCCCCAAACAAGTTTTCATGGGCTTCAATCTCTTTACTATTTATAGGGTTAAACAAGTTCAAGGAATCATTTCCTCCTGCAATTAAAAGGAATAAAGAAATTTTCATTACAGTGATATAACATTTTTAATTTTAAAATATTAGTACTGCGACGAAACATAGAAGAAAAAAATCTTAAGCAATACTAACATTTTTATAAAGCATATTTTTAAATACGAATTTATTTTTATCAATACATTGTGAATTTATAAGAAGGGTTGTAGCCGGGTTGATGAATAACTTGTAATATTCTACGATTGCCAAGCGTTTTTCCATTTTAATACCAACGGTTTTTGTTGTAATAACCGCCTAAAAATAGGGCGTAAAGAAATTAATTTGCTGATCTTGAGAGCTTTTATAAAGCTGTTAATCTGTTACTTGTAAAACGGTAAAATGTTATTTTCGGAGTGTTGGTCAAACAATTTTAGATCCGCCGAATTAATGCACAAAAAATAAAGGACCCAGGATATAATTTTTGTTCGACTTTTTCTGAGTTTTTTAAGTCCAATTTTCGTAAAAATACCGCAGAATCCAATTTGGTTGGTAGCTTTTTGGTGGTTATCAACCACCAAGAACTCAGATAGCCCTGAGCGACCGTTTAAAGATTTTCCCGTAGATTTTTCCGTGTCTAGGATTAGCACGACTAATTCCGGCTTGGAATCAATCTCCGTGTATGCACGACCTTCACGTATGTTGCTTCGCGTGCCTCGCACTTGACCCGCCGTGCCGGTACATTGGTCGTTCTCCCATAGGAGATCATAGCAATCTAGGCGCCCTCACTATTTAAGACGCCAAGAGAAGGTTCCCCGTCTTAGGGAAGGTTATTTGATCGGATCCGCTATGTGCCATGCAGAAGCACCCCACCCCGTCGGCCCCATGAGAACATAACCTAGACGACGTCATTGACATTAACATCAGGTGTTTCAATTGGTTGAAATTTGAAATTTTTAAATCATCTGAAATAATGAACCTTCTTTTTTCTAATGTTCCTAATACTACCTAGTTACAATTTTTTTTGGCTTAACTGATTTTACCTTAACTAATTTCCTCTTATCCTAAATTTACCCCTATATTAGTTAATCTACATATATATCATTATGAACTATGAACATTTCATTATATATGCAATTAGTTTCGCAAATATTATCCGCTGGGCTCAGTTAGAGTTAGTTTGTTTCTTAAAACATTAAATGCATAACTATGTATTTCCGAAGTTATCGTAGTGTTGCCATGAATCTAGGCTAAATTTTTTGAATAGAGAGGTGATTGAGGTCCTTGTTGGAGGGATCCTTAGATATAGGTGGCACTTAAGGATCACTTAGGGTGGGCGTTCTCGTACTTGTGTGATAACCAGCCAACAGTGACCAGACTATAGATGCACCCTCTTCTTCCTCTTCTTCTTCCTTCGACCTATTCTGACCTTTTCGCTTTTATCTCCCGTATCCCTTTTCCTATTCCCTTTCTCCTAATCGTACGCGAATTTTCTACCTTCTTAACTTGCTTGAGCCCTAGAGTGGTGGTATCTTGTCCTTATACCCACACCGCACGACTAGCGACAAAAGCCGAAGCCAGCGCGTATCTCTGCTCCAGTCTAGGTTTCCATCTGCTTACCCTACCCTGTACGTTGTATGCTAAAAACTTTGGCTCCAAATGACGTAATTTTAAAGAATCTGTTACACTTTTGTGTATTCGCCAGCAAATGTTTTGATTTAATTGTATTTCCATAGAGAAACCAGCCATATAATGGTATTGGCGGATGAGTCAAAACGGGCAACTTCACCTTGCTACCAGAGCAGCATATGCGGGGGGTCTCCGATTGAAACTTCAATGCATTGAAATGTTGGCATAGAGATAATGAACCGTTATCAACGCAGCGAAGAACTTTTTAGGCGATTGCGAAATCGTATTCTAAAGCCTCGCGATTCAATTTTATATTTACGACTGGTCTTCTTCCAGTAACATTTTGTTTAAAATAGTGTCATAGTTCTTCGACTGAAAATTATCATAATTATAACCGGGATGATTGTCTAGAGACGGCTACGAACAATAATTTTGGTTTTGTTTCATACTTGTCTCATACTATAATTTTGAATAATTCACAGCAAATCTTACAAAGTTTTCATGCGACTGCTTTTGTTTTGTTTTGTCGATTCGGCTATTCATGCTGATCAAGAATATATGTACTTATACATACATAATGGGTGTACATTGTCTGTCCACATTTACCCTCTGCAATATTATACAAATATATAAAAGATATACATACTTTTCGTTATCATTTTTGCTGCATTTGCAGATGCTGCTATATTATCTTCGCTCAAAGGATTTGATTGGAAATCCGATTTGGATATACTGTTGTTACTCAAGATATTATCTATACTAAATAAGCAATATCGGCCCATTATGAAGCTATTTTTATTGTTTCCATAGGCTATTAAGGTACATAGTTACTAAGAGCTGGATACCTTAAGAGACTTTAACACTATTTCTTAATCCTTTGCTGATATTAAATCGTTTTAAGTCTAAGGTGTTTCGCCCCTAACTAAAGTCAGATTATATTCATTTTAGTCTTGGTCAAACGGTTGAGTTTCCATAAGATTTATGTAAACGAGTTTTTTGTGACTCCGCCCTGAATTCACACTTTAGTGTTACTCTTGACTAAGAGCAAGTAATAATAAGAAATATCATCAGCATAGCATAACAAACCAATCAATTTTCAGGTATTGATACCTTGTATTTGTGGAGTATAAAGGTATATATCATCACTCTGTAGATGTACCTCTCTTGCATGTCTCTCTTTAAAACAGAGGCCGGCAGCGTCGTATGCACTGTGCATAGGAAAAAATTTCGGGCAGCGCAGTCGGCACACGTACAGCGTAAAGACTTCGTGTGGTTTCGTTATTCAGAGAAAATTTTGCTCTCGCGGCAGACGTCGCGGCAGAGAAACATGCTTCGGGCTATGCACAAACGGCTTCATATTCCGCTCGCTTGCCTCAGGGGCAGAGAATCACTCGTGTGCCCTATGCACAATTCTTCGGCTTTCGCAGCGGCAGAGAAATAAGTACGTATTTGACTTCGTGTCTGTTGTTTTCCCACACAAACGCACAAAAAAAATGTGTGTGAAACGTTGTTTTGACATTAAACTTTTCTAAATGACTAACCAAAAATAGCCTTATGGGAAATGCTTGCAGTCAGAGCGAGACAAATATATGCGTCATATGCGTGTCATATGCATTCGCATTTGCAACAGCAAACCAGACACTCATACACTTACATTGACCGGTATCAAAACAATCCGTCTGAGCAGGCTTAACAAAGCAAGCGCTGGCTTGAAAATCCAGAATGTGCGAATGAGTGCGAAAGAAGAACCAAGAACAACTTGATGCTTGTGATTCCGGGTACCATTCGAATGGATTTGTTCGCTGAACACAAACATTAGAAAAAAGGACGCTGTCACTTGAGATCGACTGGGAGATACCCTGCACTTATATATCTCAAGTGAATATTAAAAATAAATAAATTCATGAAATAAAAAATAATAGCAATAATATATGTACAAGTTTTATTTCAAAACAAAACAAATAACACTTCTGAAAGATTTGGAGTTTAGATATTGTTTGATGATATTTTTTTTTTTCAATGGCAGAACATTTTTTTAAAGAATTACAAAATAATGTTATTTTTTTGTCACTCTTTTCAGAGGTAGCGCTTCTTTTTTTCACATAGCTCAAGTGTCTTCTGGGTGCAAAGAACTTTGCCATTCTGAAACGCTAATTGATGCAGATATAAATTATACCCAACTACTTTGTGGTTTTAGCTTATCGTCTGGGAAATATTAATATTTCAAATCCAAAATGATTTTTGTACGGCGATTTTTTGAGGGTTTGTGAACCAATTTTAGATCCTCCGTCTCTCCATACATTTTAATGAGCAATACCTTAAACGAGGCCGAATTAATGCACAAAAAAATAAAGGACCCAGAATGTAATTTTTTCCGACTTTTCCTGAGTTTTTCAAAATTTCGTAACAAATTTTTTTTGGAATTTAAAGCTTAATATTTCCAAGGCGGTAAGCTAAAACCACGAAGTGTTTGGGTGAAATTTCTAGCTGGATTAACTAGCTTTTCAGAATGGCAAAGTTCTTTGCTACCAAATGTAAGTTACTTAAGATATGTGAAAAAAAGAAACGCTACTCTAAAAAATACTTAACAAAAATACCAGATTTCAAAAGTTCTTCAGAAAAAGTTCTGCCATACAAAAAAAAAAACAATTTAAAGCTTGCAATCTTTCAGAAGAAGTTGGTTTGGTTGCCTTCAGCAAGAGACCCGCTACTCATTCTCTTTCTCGCTCGCACACTCTGTAGACGCGAGCGCCCTCTAGCGGAGGAGATGTAGCATCTAAATGGGTTAGTCGGAACATGCGAGTCGCTTCTGGGGACGCGACTCTACTTATACCCGTACTCAGTGAGTATATTTATTTTACATTTTGATTTAATTTTTTCGAATTTTAGAATTTTAAAAAAAGTTTACATTTTACATTTTTTTGCTACATCTATTATCTACATCTACATATATATTATACATATAACATGTAGATTATAGATGTACCATTTATATTCACATCTCCTCCGCTAGGGGTTGCTCGCGCACTGAACGCGGCAGAGTGTGCTAGCGAGAAAGAGTTAGGTAGCGGGTCTCCGGCAGGAGGGGGCGGAAGAAACAACAGAAAATTAATTTCTTCATTATGGCTATAATTATGATCCGATCTAGTTCAGATTCGGCAATCTGGTAGATATGGACATTCTCTACGATACTGCGTTTTTAGTTTTAGCGTATCTTTAAAAATGTGCCTGCCACAGATTTTCGTCCTTTGTGGGGGCGGAAGGGGGCGGGGCGAAATTTTGAAATACACTTGTAGCAGTGTGATATCACATGAGTCTGGAAACAAAATTTGGTTCCTTTAGCTTTTATAGTCTCTGAGATCCAGGCGTCAAACAAGACGGACGGACAGACGGACAGACAGACATGGCTCTATCGACT